AGGCTGGGGCAGCAGCACACGCAGCAGCACCGCGCTGCTGCTGTGCGCTCAGAGACACTCACGAGCGGGAGAAAATGCACTGAACTCTCCATCTGGCCAACACCGCTCAGTCAGGTAACAAATTTACAAATACTTAACTTATTAGCTGATGCTGTGGGATGGGGAGCTGCTACGGATAGGGAGAACGAAGCCACAAGGCAGTAACGCACATCTTTTCAGGGTATTTCACTATATTATCACTATATTGGAGGACAAGAAGGTGCTCAAGAGTAGTCAGCATGGATTCACCAAGGGGAAATCTTGCCTGACTAACCTGATAGCCTTCTATGATGAAATGACCGGCTGGATAGACGAGGGGAGAGCGGTGGATGTCGTCTATCTCGACTTCACCAAGGCTTTTGACACCGTCCCTCACAACATCCTCCTGGGCAAGCTCCGGAAGTGTGGGATAGATGAGTGGACAGTGAGATGGATTAGGAACTGGCTGGATGGCAGGGCCCAGAGAGTGGTGATCAGCGGTGCAGAGTCTAGTTGGAGGCCTGTCAAATTTACAAATACTTAACTTATTAGCTGATGCTGTGGGATGGGGAGCTGCTACGGGTAGGGAGAACGAAGCCACAAGGCAGTAACGCACATCTTTTCAGGGTATTTCACTATATTAACAGTGCCTCTGCTGTCCTCTGCCCCACTGGACACTCGGGCCCTGAGATTTGTGCATGTTAAGTGCCCATCATTCCCACAGAAATACCAATACTAAGTCACTACCTCTGATGAACACAGCGAGTCCTTGGTCTGAAACCATAATTCCCGGCACTGCAGGCCCCTCTCTCGCCTTGTCTCGGGACACAGCGGGAGCACCTCGCTGCACGCAGCGCTCCCGAGAGATCCCGGAAAGGCTGCGGCGAGGAGAGAGCGAGCCCAGCAAATTGTTGAGCTTTACCTCAGCTTGGTTCAGTTTCCGCAGTAATTGTGATAAACGTGATGATACTCTCTTTTCTCACCTTGTCATTAACCACAGTGAGCATCGCGTACTCATTATCATTATTATTGAGAGGGGGCTCTGTACAACTCTGACTTGCAGCAACACCAAAAGATCAAATTATCTTTGAAGGGACTGATCCGATGAATTGATATTGTCCCCCTTCTGCGAGAACAAACCAGCTGCATTTCCCAAGCAGCTTTTCTCTCTCTGTGGAGGCCTTAGAGCTATCCCTGATCTTTTTGGTTACCATTAGCTCCTGCACCGCTCCACAACCAGGGCTTTGCAAGAACCTGGAAGGGCAACAAAACTAGAACTGACAAAACAAACGAGGAAAAGTGTGCTCTGGTAAAGGCTCTGGCTGAGCAAATTTTTAAAAATCAGCCCATGCCACAAAGAGTATTTCTGTAACTCATTCGAGTCGTGTGTGCGAGGGAAATTCACCCCAGGTCACTGCAGATAGCACAGCTGATTCAGCTGAATCTGCGCTACAGATTTTGAGTGTGGAGTCCTAGCTGAATCTTGGCTGAAATCTTAGCTGAAGATACAGGGGGAACAGCAGCAATGACAAAATTGACATGTAAAAGCCTGCGCGCTTTATCTTTGCAAAATCTCTGTCTGGCTCGGGAGTGCTTGCAGAGTGAAGCCCACGCTATCAATCAGCCTCGTTATCACCTGTCCTCTCCTGGAGAAAATATGCCAGGGGCACAAGAGCAGAGCCACTGTCACCCTTGAGGCAAACCAGCAGAGCTGCTCCGAGACAACTCTTATCAGTAAGGTGCCATATCCTCTGGCTTCCCTAGCTGTTTTTTTCCCACTTCCTCAGTGCAATGTGTGAATCTGCTGGGTGTTAACCAAGCCAGAGTGATTCAAGCCCAGCTAGGGATGAGGGGCTTTTTGCCCTGCGTTCACCACGGTGGATCAAGCCCCTGCTTTGGGCCAGCGAGGGCTGTCTGCCTGGCAAAGCTTTCCTGCTGCCTGCCCTCTGCCAGGCTGGATTCCCAGAACACAGGCGCAACTTCGTCCAATGTTTTGGGATGGGGCCCCACATAAACTGGCTATAGTTCTAGGTCAAAAGCTGTCTTTGGGAGGTGCTAAGTCTCCATGGCCTGTCTAGGGTCTTGAAACAGCTTATTTGCATCTTGGCTTCTGGGCAATTCCCCCCAGTGGTGTATTTTTTTTTTCTTTTTTTCTTTTTTTTTGTCATTTGGCTGGTTTCCCCCTGCTGCCTTGCCCTTTTTCTGTAAAGAAATGGGCACGTCCAACATGCTGAGGCATAAGAGAACTATTAAAAAGCTGTAATGTGAATACATTTTCCCTTTTGAGGAAGCTATTTTTATTAATATGCTTCTAAACCAAAATACAAGTGGTTGCATAAAGCCTGCAAGATGTTATTATCAACAAAAGGATAAAAATGCAAGCCAGGGTGACAGATGCTGCTCCCTGGCCATAGTGTGCATATGATCTAGGCTGGAAAGGGTCCTGCAGCCAAGAATGAGTAGTATTTGTCCCAAATAAGAATCCTGGTGCATAATTAGCAATATTTGTCTAGTAAAAGCTGTGCGATTTCAGCCCTGTGGTGGTTTCAGTCAGGCCGATTTCATCCCGGAGCGCCCAGCTCTCCAGGCCGGCACTGCATAGCTTAGCTGGGTCAGCTCACCGCCTTAGGGTGCCAAACCTTGCCGTACCACGCGTGCCAACTGCTGCATTTATCCAGCCGGATAACTCTGAGCAGAGGAGAGCTGAACACAGGGCCGTGCCCGGAGCCCTGCCGGCGGAGAGGCCGCAGCCCGGGCAGGCCGCAGCCGGGTGAGGCGGCCCGCAAGGACGACGGTGCCGCTCGCGGCT